TAACATAGATTCCTCTAACACTCTTTAAGCAATGTAGAGTTGAACAGAAATAGTAAGCAACAGATGTAGACAGATAATATAGCGACACTCTCAGGCATATATTCTCTATCCTCTGTGAAGAAAGACATATATGACTACTACTGTTGTGTTTATTATTCAACTTTACGTTAACTGTTTTGTTAAGCGCTTTGTTACCGTTGCAGCTGTTGTGAAAGCGCTATATAAATCAGGATTGTGATTGTATTGTACTGCTTACTGAGATATTGTAACCATCTTCTTCGTGTTTTTATGATGTACTGTTCATTACTCTTGTGGTGTTGGAATCAAAAAATTAAGTCCCCATTCGGGAAATCCCACAAGATGAATGCAGGATCTATTCTGAACTGTGTGCGTATGTGTGCGTGTGTGTGTGTGTGTGTGTGTGTGTGTGTGCGTGCGTGTGTGTGCGTGTGCGGACACAGTGGAAATTAGGAGAAAAAGGAACATTATGCCGTAAAAGTGCTAATTAAGCTGCGAATGTGACAAAATGCAAATGCACTAATGATGTCACCCGGAGACACACAAGTGCAGTGCCGTACTCTATATGAAGTGTGTGCGTGTGCGTGTGTGTGTGTGTGTGTGTGTGTGTGTATGTGTGTGTGTGTGTGTGTTTGTAAAAACACAAAATTGCGATTCAGCAGTTGTTGCCACGCTTCTTGATTACGGCTACATTGCAGCTGCTGTATTATGGAGGTCAGTTGATGCTTAATTTCCTCCAAGACGTGTGTTTTGCCACTATATGAAGTATAAACAGTAACTCACTATCAATATATATATAAAAGACAAACAACGGATCGTTATCAGGCTTCTCAGAGCTTGCTGATGAGCTGATTGTTTGAATCAGGTGCGTTGCAGGATGGGAAACATAAAAAATAAAATAAAAATGTTCTCATTAGGGGCGGCGCGGTGGTCCAGTGGTTAGCGCGCCGACCTCGCAGTGCAGAGGTACCGGGTTCAATTCCAGCTGCGGCCTTCCTGTGTGGAGTTTGCATGTTCACCCGGGCCTGCGTTGATTTTCTCCGGGTACTCCGGTTTCCTCCCACATTTCAAAAACATGCATAGCAAGCTAAGTGAACACTCGAAATTGTCCCTAGGTGTGAGTGTGAGCGTGGATGGTTGTTCGTCCCTGTGTGCCCTGTGATTGGCTGGCAACTGGTTCAGGGTGTCCCCAGCCTACTGCCCAAAGACAGCTGGGATAGGCTCCAGCACACCCCGCGACCCTTGTGAGGATAAAGCGGATCGGAAAATGGATGGATGGATGGATATTTCCATGCTTTTTGTTTTCCATTTTGGGGGATTTTGGAAAGTAAATGATTAGTTGAGAATCCTCTTATCCTGCCTTTCTGCTTCCTTGCACTTGGGTCTACCACGCAAAACCACGACAATCTGGTTTTGCAGTAAAATGAGCTCAAACAAAAAATTCAAAACAAACAAAAAATCCCCGCCCCCATCCCCAAATTCTCCCAAGTCTCATGAGATTTGAATCTCTTTGTTCTGCATTCTTGGCAGTTTCCAGCCAGGTTTTCTTTAATTACGATTTAGTGATGACTTATAGACACCACATTTTTCCACGTCACGGTTTTAACTATCCAAGGTCAAACCCATTCGGCTCACTTTCCAGTCCAATCCACCCCCCCAACCCCTCTCCCTCCCGAACCTCAGTCCCATTAGCTCAGTGCACCGCCGTCTATTTTTAAACTCTTGCTATAGTGGAGCAACTACATGTGCATGGAATATTAAGCAGTCTTCCTCGATAAACCACCCATCGTCTTTCCAGTAGTGGCCAACCGTGGTCGTCATCGTTTCATTCGCGGATGTCATACATGTGCACGTTTTTCTATGTGAGGTGTCTGTAAATGAACAGGAGGAAGAAGAGCTTTCCAGCGGGAGCTCTTTGTTCCTCTTGTCTATTTTATTTGATTTTTTTTCCAAGACACTTCAGAGGTGCACTGCATGCTAATGACCGATATACTTGCAGGAAATCGACATCAAAAAGCTGCTGGAGATTCTTCACCTTAACCAGCACACTGCGCAGAAGGCAGTGAAGCCGGGAGATTTGGAAATTTCATTGAGATGGATTTCAATTAGATCTGTCAAAGACGCGCTTATCTATACACGGAGGGTGGCGGGATGAGCAAACTGGCTAGGAAATGAAGTTTGGGGAAAAAAATAGAATGGAGGGTGAAACAATCGATGAAATAGGGAAATAATACTCGTTGAAATATGTTCCAGTCATCAGAAAAACTTTTATTGACTACTCGAGCAAGAATTTGACGTAACATTTCGACATCCACAATCGTTATACGGTATTAAAAATCAATTAACCACTCTATAGTAAAAAATAAAAATAAAAACAGTAAAAAATTGTGTTGTCACCTTCACGAAAGTATGACAAACATGCAGCAGAAGTCGGTCAAGAAATGCTGCAACTTTGCGAGGTTTGCTATATTTTTGCAAAGATTCAAAACGTTTCAAAACCGTTTCAAGAGGTTTGTTGTAGTGGCAGAAGATGTTTGGTTTTTTTTTTGCATTGGAGATCTTATGAGAGTTACGAGAAGCTCACATAGACTTGCTAAACGATTGTGAGACTTGTTCATGTTTTTTATAAGATTTGCTGTTGTTCACATTTCAATCAAAAGGTTTGTTGGAGATTCGCTGAACTACCGCAAAAAAGATTTGTTGAGTTTTCACAAGATTTGTTGGTGCCCCATGAGATTTGCTTCAGTCTCGCGAAACGTTTTGCATAATTTTTCTTTTCTCAACATTTGCAAATCCCGCCCCTGTGAATTTTGGAGCAACAGCTGAGGAAGATTTTTTTACAAACATTTCAGTTTCCAAGTTGGCGCAGTGTTTCGGGAATTTGACATTGAAAGTTCCATTGTATCGAATTTTCGGTGCTTACATTGTACAGTGTTTAAAGCTTGCAAAGGGACAGGAAAATTTTTGATGGAAATCCGATTTAAAGGCGTATTTTAGTGCAATTTTGTGAGTTCATGCTGGGCGAGCTGCTTAGCGGAACCAGATCAAAGTCACCCAACACTTGAGGTAATAGGACACATAAATGAGCAAACAAACACGAATAATACGTAATATATGCAAGGCATTCAATGCTCTTTCCAAACGTCTGACTGCAATCTGTTTAGTTTTGTACTGTGCATGTAATTTACGATATGAAAAATACATTTGGCATGTGACGGTGCGGTGGAAAAGCAGCTTGTCGAGCATTTTGATGCCAATGGCTGCGTCTCATCTCAGCACGCTGTCCCAGCCAGCCAGCCAAGCACAGTGACTTTCCACTGCCCTTGGATTTTTTTTCTTTTTTTTGGGGGGAACCTCAGGTCTCCATGGTAACAAGATTATTGCATCACTACTCTCCAGCTGCTGTCGTCAGGCTGCTGTTTGCTCAAGCTCTGCGGCAGCCACAAGGACACACGCGCCGGCACGCGCGCGCGTGCCTGCTCGCATGCTAATCACCTCACTCTGAACTCTTATAAGACGGAGCGGCGAACGTCCCTTGTCGGTTTCTCGTGGCCCAGTTTAGCGGTCGCCTCTGGGATGGCGGGTTCTTAAAGCATTTGGCACTTTTTAAATTGGGGTTAATGGTCCTTTGGAGAGTAAGAAGGGGCACTCGTGAAGGGTGGTCTCCCAAAAACAACTCACCTAGCTTGCTTAACCCTTTCAGGGACAGCGGCCTATCAGGTTATCAGGTTACAGGTTATCATTATTTGTGCATGAAAGGATTCAATGCGCATGATGTTTTAACCGTTTCTAAAATGGACCCCCTGACTGACCCAGATGCGAGGAGCGTCTCCTCCCGCAAAGTCTTGTGCACTTTCCGCTTCACTAGAGGTCACGGTGACCTTGCTGCCTGGCTGAACATCACTCTGATTCCTGAGTGCCTTCGCCGATGACGAGCTATAATGCCCATGCTGGATGATGGTCGCATTGAGATGATGGAAGGAGGAAGAGAAGATGTGTGGGGAAAGGTGTGTATGGACTGATGGAAAGTAGATGTGGTGTCATGCACTTAGCTGGAATTAAACGCCATGAATCTAATACTGTAGCTATCAAATATTTGGCGAGGATGTTTCAGTTTTTATGAAGTCCGATAAAGGCCATCTGGAATGTATGAAAAAATATAACTCATATGCAAGTGCCTCTTCAGAGGCGTACCCGGATGGTGATCGGCCCCTGCCCTAAACATAAGCGGGGAATGTTCTGGTTGGCCTGCAGAACACGAGCCAGTTGCTGTTCTATGGCTTTTTGCATTGACGTCAGAAGGGAGAGTAAAATCGTAAAGACCTCGATGTGTGCGCAGAAATTTGTGGTGGGCAAGTTTCGTCTTCGGAAAAGCGGGACGCGTTGATAAGGTCAATGTCGTTTCAGTGAAGGAGCTTGCTGGCGAGCTACCCCTTGACCCCCTGGCGTGACACTCGTTTTTCTGGCTTTCCTTTAGCAAAAAGTAATTTATTCCAGTATACTATTCATAAACTTTTATGATACCAATTCTGAGGCAGTATACTTTAAGTGTACTTTTTTAATTTTATAAACTTCACAGAAGTATGCTTATGTATACTTAGCTTGGACTGAAAAGTATACAGACACACACTTATAGTATATAGTGATCCCTCACTTATCGCAATTAATGGAGACCGAGACCCCCCCAGCGAAAGAGGAAAATCCGCGAAGTAGGTACCCCCCCCGTACAGGTATACATGCATGTAGAAGTAAATGTTTGGAGTAATTAACATGACTTAATGCTATATACTAATACTGTATATAAAACTTATACATGTATAAGATGTATAAGTTAGGTTAGGTTAGTGTATAAATAACAAAATACAGTAAATATAAAAATGAAATATACATGTAGTACTGTACATGTTGCTCGATGTGACTCGCTGTTGTTTTGCTGACTTTCGCGGACCTTTTGCGGCATTTTCGCTATGTAAATTTTTTTGATGAATACTTTTGAAAACTCCGCGATGCACTGAAACCGCGAGAAGTGAACCGCCAAGCAGCGAGGGATCATTGTACCTTTAAAATGAATTGTTTCCAATTTAGTATGACAAAGTACACTTTTTATACTTATACTCAAGTATACTTTTTAAAGTATATTTAATATATAATACAAATTGTCTGCTCTCAACAATGTCCCGACATCCCTCACCCCTCATCGACTGGGAAAATGGATCATGATCACACATCTCAAGCCAATTAGGGCTTCCCAATTAGGTCCCCAATGATCCAAGCATGTCAGTTTCCAGTTTCCAGCCGATGCCGTTACAAAAGTTACTTGCTCATGCGACATTGCGGCGCTCTCCCCGGTCACATATATAAATGAGTCAGCTCATTAATTAGTCATCGGCTTTAGAATCTCATCTGACTTTGCACAAGTGCCGAAACAGACTCCCTTTGTCAGTTCCTTCCTCTCCTCGGGGAAATTCAACATAACGCGTTGTTGCGTTTTCTAGGTCACACTTCAAAACCACCACAGCCCGACAGATAAAAACATTCATGACAGTCTAGTCTAGTCTCATTAATCCTTCTGAAACGGGAGCAGTCACTTTCAGAGTCGTTAAAATCATTTTATACGACGTGATGTTTTGTGTCTTCAATCGTCGGACAATCAGTCCTCGGGATGGTCACCATCATCAATTAACTGATAGCTGAGAATTCTGGAGAGTGTGCGGAATTTCAATTGAGGCAAACTGGAGTGCACTACTTGCCTGCGGCGCGACCATCGGAGAGAGGCTCTTGATTGACTTTCAATTAATTTGCGATCCGAAGGGGTACATCGTGATGCCAGATATGCAAAAAAATAAATGTAAAAATACAAACTCGGTCAAGTTTCGAAAAAAAAAAATGATGTAGAATACATCTTTCCACCGGCGAGGATTGTGTGTGAGCACCGTTGTCGCGTGACAGGAATAAGAAGCACTTGCGTTTGCGCTCCCGGGGGCTCGGTGAATCTGTGCAACTAATTGTCTCCGCCACTCTGTTTGAATGTTGCGGCAACGTTAATCATGTCACTGGCTCCTGTTCGGCCTCGGGCGCTACTGGACGAGACAGCCCCACATCACCTGCGAAGATTCAAAATTGCATTTCATGCTTTTGATATTCGCGAGTGCACTTGAGACTTTGCTTTCACTAATCAGCCCAGCTCATCAGACTCACGGAAAGTTCCATATTCATATCCAAGTAAGGCAGTTTGTGTGCAGTGGGCCATTCTAGACATCCCATCACGAAGGCCTTTGCTGACTTTAATTAGGTCAAGGGAATTGGGTACTCAAACCAACAGCCGGTTAGAAACTTTTTTTGTAGTTACATTTAATTAAAAAAAAAAAAAAATCACCATTTTAGTCATTGATTTTTAATGAGGTTTATTAAAAAACTAATTGAAAAAAAGATATGATTTGGAAACATGGCAGCCTATTGTATTCAAACGGGCACTATTTACCAAACAAAAAAACTTCACTTCCCTTTTATGTTAGGACTGGAAACATCCATCCATCCATCCATTTTCCAATCCGCTTTATCCTCACAAGGGTCGTGGAGGGTGCTGGAGCCTATCCCGGCCGTCTTCGGGCAGTAGGCAGGGGACACCCTGAACCGGTTGCCAGCCAATCGCAGGGCACACAGACAAACAACCATCCACACTCACACTCACACCTAGGGACAATTACGAGTGTTCAATCAGCCTGCCATGCATCGTTTTTTGGAATGTGGGAGGAAACCGGAGTACCCGGAGAAAACCCACGCGGGCCCCGAGGAGAACATGCAAACTCTACACAGGGAGGCCGGAGCTGGAATTGAACCCGGTACCTCTGCACTGTGAGGTCGACGCACCAACCACTGTGCCACTGGGCCACCACTGTGAACATATATTTAGAAATATTCGCTAAACTGGATTATCACATCAGAATGTTTCGCATAAACAATACCGTAATTGCTTTTCTTTGGTAATTGAATTAGTTCTCCTGTGGGACAGAACAATGCATGAGAGGTTGAATAAGGCTTTACAGACCACAGAAGACAGATTTTTTTTTTGGAGGATTTTAAGCATTTCTCTGTTTTGACAAGACGGTAACTGAGAGCACGCTCAAGGAGAGTTTCACTAATATGATCCTGCAGCCTGAATATATTGATGTGATGAAATGAGACTTTTATCCAGTAAGATGTGTTGGATTGTCACGAAAAATAGATGATCCCCATGTCGGCGATTGTAGCGTGACAAAACTAGTTGGAGTGAAGATTTTGACAAAGAAAAATAATGTGACAACTCACTATTCTAGGTCAGGAGTGTCTGAACTTTCTCCTATGAAAATAGAAAGAAAAAAGGGTCAGTTAGATTTTTTTTCTTTTTTTTCTTAATTCTAACTGACACAACTGAAAACCGAGATGATAGTTCAAATGTTTGAAACTATTCCTGCTAAGAATGCTAAAAAGACATTCAATTGTAGATTATTTGAGGTAATTTGAACATCAGCCAATTTTCAAACACTAACCCTTTCAGGGACAACAACGCTTACGACAGTGGACATCTTATCATGTTATCGGGTTGCAGGGTGCATGAAAGGGTTAAATTAATGCTTGTGCTTGTGGTAGATTGTTTTGTGTGACAAACATACTGTAGATCAGTGGTGTACAAACTACGGCCCGGGGGCCATTTGCGGCACTCAATTCATTTTTCAGCGGCCAGTGACATGGCAAAAAAACTATATAACACTAACAATTATTTGTCATGGGCCTGTACAACTATATATATATATATATATAGGCACTTATGTAAATGTAAAATGACTTTAATGATTTTCACAATGTGGCCCTCTAAGGGGAAACATGAAGATAATGAGACTATCATTGAGTGAACAAGTTGTTATGACGGCCTGTCCGGTCTGACATATTTCACTGTGTGCTTCTCTCCCATGTCCTCGTCGTCATCAACGCATCAAGGGGGGGGGGGGGGGGGCGTTTGGGGGGGGAGTAAACTTCTCTGCAATTCCATTTACAAAACCATTCATGCAGCCACTTGGAAAAGGCGTACTGAGAATGAAATATCACGAGGAGGAAGCATTGTGTGAGATTACATCCGTGGGAGTGCGCATACCAATTGGCGCCGGCTGATGGAAAAAAGATCACCTTAAACCTGAGCGCAACGTTTCGGATCTGAAACTTCACACCGCCCTTCGGAAAATACTTGTCGTCAGGATGCAAATGCAGGGCGCCAGGCGCCATTACGGACTGTGATTAGTAATGCGTTTGACCCACTGAGATGCTCGGTCAGGGTAACAGTATCGGCTGTTGGCACTTTTCACAGCGCAAAACCGTGTTTGTGGTGTCACAGCTCAATGCCGTTGTGGTACAAATGCTTGCCAGAGGTTGCTTTAATGGGGCTGAAGTCAAGGCCCTTCTATGAAAAGGTTGTGTCATGTCATTCTTAAACAGATATTCCACTCGACTGTGTTGGCCATACATCCTTTTTCCACAGCGCATGATCGCAACACCTCTCTCTATTCAGTGTTGTACTGAGCAAATTAATTTGTCATCCAAAATCAATTCCACACAAGTGACTAAATTCCAAACCATCAATTAATCTGAAAATTTTAGCTGTATGTTAAGAACTGACAGTGATGCAAACAACTACTTCTTTGATTATTGAAGGATTCTCATGAAGTGGTGGAGTGTTCCAGATTTTTGGCACAGATTAGCGGATCCAATTGAGGGTACCCTCATTTCTTAATGAGGTTCCTTTTACGGAAGCGAGCATTTTCCGAAGCAAATCTAAGTATTCATGAAGTCATTCATATTGTGACCTGTTATATGTCATCAATAAAGTTCAAGTGAAACACCAGAGTAGATAACTAACAATTATTTTCATACTTGATTAATATGTCAATTATTTTGTCGATGAATCCGATAACAATGTCTTAATTTCGATCCCTTTATTGAGAATGACAGTGGGGGAAATGACAGGGTTGTTGTAGAGTTAGCATTGGGGTTACCCTCACAATTTTATTTTTCCCAATTTTGATCAATAGAAAAGTTCACCATATTAATTTAATTGAAGAATCAACCAAAATGACTTTAAGTACTGTTAGAGGAATCTATGAGCAAAATTGTATCATGTTTAAAGTTTCATTTAATTTGGGCACATCTAAACGTTTGGGTGCGTATCCAGCACCCCCAAATGCCTGTGCACAAAGGCGCCGGCCACCTGGCCGGAGGGCTGTTGAAGTCCACAATTAGCACGTCAATGCAGGTGGGCGATCACAGGGGAGAGGGCGAAACTCGGTCACAAAAGGGGAATGAATAATTTGGGAACAGCGGTTGAACAACGAAAGACGAGTTGAGAACACCCGTCGCGCCCAGGCGACATTTGTCATCCGCAAAGTCTGCAACATGTTGATACAGTGTAGACCAGACAGAAAGGCGCCAATGTACCGGTGGTTCAAAGCTTAAACTCAGGTAACCAATCACTACCGAAGGGCCGGACCGGGGGTGCGGTATGCAAATGTCGGGGGCAGTGTTTTCCTTGTATGTTACAATAAAAGTCGGAATTGGCGGGAAGGGAGCTCGAGTGTGTGATCATCGGAGCAACTACCGTCGTTCGCTCTCAGAGATCCACTCCTGCCGATATTCAAGACAATTTTCCTGTGTGCCGAGTCATTTCTTTAACTTTGTCCGAGAAAATCTCTGACAAGTACAAAATTTAAGTCAGTGACTGTTATTTCCATGGTACCAATTCATTGCACAAGTTATCTGATGGTACTTTGCAAACCTTGAACGAGACTCATTCGTCTGTGGGGTGGGGGGGGGGGGGCGTCTGCCCCGGCTGATTGGTTTGAGATGAGCAGGTCGAGAGAGAAAACAAGACAGAGTGAGCGAGTGAGGTGGGCACAACAACAGCTCAAGTCGAATTGGCATTTATACATGTGGCGATTTCCAGTGTTAGACTGGCTGTGTATGCTTCCTAAAAGAAGACGGGAGTGAGTGTGTTACATTGGGTTGGAGAAATTGCAGCTTCACACAAATGCAAAAAATAAATTATAATAATAATAATAAAATTTAAAAAATTGTTGGCAGGAAGCAAGTGAAGAGATGGCGTTTTATTGTCAGCCAAGTAAAAAGTGATTCTGGGACATAACGGCACAAGGGAACTGCAACGCCAGACAGTACAGAACTAAGAGGAGAGTGAAAAGAACTTGGGAGTAATCTTGCCAAGGAGCCAAAAGTACGAGAAGCCGAGCCTCTTTAAGAAAGGATCATTTGCTATGTTTCTGCAATTTCCATCTTGCGCAGCTTAAAACTATGACAGCATCATTTATTGATGTGGTGTTTCCCAAGCTGTTATTGAACCCCTCTCAATAATTAATCTGGTGCGAGACCTGACCGGGTGGCGAGAATGGCGCTGGGGTGCAAACGTGCAAAAAAACCCAAAACAAAACAAAAAAAGCAACAACAAAGCATTTGGCCTAACAATTCTAGTTTGTTTCATCTTTTTCTTTATGGCTTTTTATTTATGGCTGTAATAAAAACGCAGTACCACTACCAAATGGGTCTATATTTATTGAAGACATTTTTCTGCCTCTGATTGTTCCGGTTTCATATATTTTTACCCGCAAGTCTCTGGTGGATCTAACTGCACGTTCTTGATTGAACCATCTGTTTTGAGGGTTACTTAGAATTATTCTATTTGGAAGTTGTTGTTTTTTTGTTTGTAAAACGAGACCCAGCATCCATGGTGTGTAGTATCGGGACGCTCTGATAAGAGCCAAGTCTCACATGATGTCCTACATCATGATTTAAACTGTCTATTTTTGTCATGACTTTTGAGGCATATTTTTTTGTAGGTCGTCGTGGCCAATTAACCGAATAGGGTAATAAATGTTGTTTTATTTACAGCCATGGGGAACAAAGATTTTCTCTCTCTCTCTCTCTCTCTCACACACACACACACACACACACACACACACACACACACACACACACACACTACACAGTATAATTGTAGCCCTCAGGAGGAAACATGCAGCAGCAGTGATGATGAACTGTAGAGTGTGGTGGTGTCAAATGTAAACAGCAGATGCTGAAGGAGATTTAATGCAGTGGAAATGCTGTGGATCAGGAGATTTGTTGACAGCAAGAACAATTACAACTTAGTGTGTGTAAGCGTGTGTGTGTGTGTGTGTGTGTGTGTGTGTGTGTGTATATGTATGCACGTGTCTATTTTTGCTGCTGGGCGAGTCAGCAGGTCTGTCCCCGTGAATAAGGATGCTGTGAGAATGACAAAGCGATCCGCTGACAGAGTGGCCTTCGTCCTTCGATGTAGTTTGCAGTCAAGCTCTGCTCCACAAGAGCGCATCTTGAGAGAAAAAAAAAGTGGAAAGACGCGTTGGAGGGGAAGTGAGTGGAACGTCGAAAGCCAAATGGCCCTTTGTCATCCAATTCACAATCTAAATTAAGTTCTCGTGGGAGATAGTCCTTGAAAGTAGCACAGACATCCAACTTTGAAATGGCGTCAAGCTTCACTAGCAAGTTGACATCAGCAAATCTCACGATCCAAAATCAGCGGGAAGGATGGATTGCAGAACCATAAATAATCATTTAAATTCGCAATAAGTATTGAGGCAAAGGTTGACTGGATATCTATGTATTTTAGTCTTTGTAAGACATTACATGACTTTGAACCACTTCTACATATTAAATAAACATTTCAGACAACCGTCTACTTTAACAAGATTTGGCACGTTAATCAGAACACTGTCCTGAAATGAAAACAAAAGTAGTACATTTATTTATCAACTGAACAGTGAATATCTCCAACATAACGTAAATCATAAATAAATGTGCATGTGCAATGCGGTTCCAGTGCAACCTTTTCCCTTTTCCTGGCACCTTTATCCGCACCTTCACTCTATTTGGTCGTCTTTTTGTTGCAGCCGAGGCATCACAGATGGCTGCCGCTTCAATATGAATATTTGATCGCCCTCATAATCCTCCCTTGAGAGTGGTGAAATATTTAAACATTGTCTGGTGGCCATTTTCTCCCTTTTCCAAAAAAATACCGAGCAGAATCAAATCAAAATGTATTACCTGTCCACGTGTTTTATAAACATTGTGTTGCAGGTGTATGTCCTCTTATTAGTTCTGTTGATGAGAGGTGACTTGTGAATATGTTTTTTTTCACTCATGGGCGCAGCAGCACGGTTTTGGGGCAGTTATGTCAAATCGGTACGTCATAATTTGGAAAAAATCTGAGGGATGGCTCAGATGCACACTTTGAGAAACAGCCAGATAAAAAAATTATTTGGTTGTCTAATTTCACACTTGGTGGTGGGCGGGGCCTTCAGAGTCCCAAATATTTACATCAGTGGTTCTTAACCTTCTTAGAGGTACTGAACCCAACCGGTTAATGTGCACATTCACAGAACCCTTCATTAGTGGAAAAATAAATATATTTTTGTTTACAAATTCAAGATATTAAAAAACGGATTTATTAAAAACAGAAAAAAGTCAATAAAATTCAAGGGATAAGTATACTTTTTTTAAATTGAACGACATACTATCACGACAGTCACACGGTGACTATTGAGCGAACTAAATTTCCCGCAGCACTGATTGGACAAGCAATGTCATGTGATCATCTGCAGGCAGTGATGGCCAAACGAGTGTGTCATAACTAATTGACATGTTGAGTCGGGTGTGTCTTAACCTCCCTGGCAGAGGCTCCATCGAACCCCTGAGACCGATTCACCGAACCCTTATGGTTCGATCGAACCCAGGTTAAGAACCACTGATTTACATACAAGCCATTCAAAACTAAATTCTCCATATAATGTTGCCTTTAATAGCCAGTGTCTACATAGAAGAAATTGTGTGTGTTGCTCTCTCTCTCTCTCTCTCTCTCTCTCTCTCTCTCTCTCTCTCGTAGAGGGATGCGAAGGGGCAGTACCTGTTTGACCTCATCTGTCACCACCTTAACCTGCTGGAGAAAGACTACTTCGGCATCAGATATGTGGACCCAGACAAGCAGAGGGTGAATAATAAAGATGCTAATATTTGTGTGTGTGTGTGTGTATATATATATATATATATTTTTTTTTTGCGTTTGCATTTGCCCTTCAAAATTAACAGCATTTGTGCATTGAATGAAAAACTTGGTAAATGTGACTATAAGCGCAATGACAGCGAAATGCAAATTATACATGTCACAAAAAGGTAAGGATGTTGAGATTTGGAGTGATATGACAGCGGAATTTAATTTTAGCTCTTTTTTTTTTTTTAATGTACATGTACAACTGCTGAATTTCTAACAAGGCACTGAACGACAAAATTCACAACAGGTGTTAAATCCAGGCGTGGAGCAAATAAAATATGCGCTTCAATTAAAATTGCAATTTGAACAGCCCTCATGCCGGTCACAATTTGACATCTCGCATCTCTGCTGCCTCCGTTTAATCAAATAAAATGAGGAAAAAAAACAACGCAAAAAAAGACTGAGAAACAGAAGAAGATAACGAATTGTAAATGTGACTTGTCGCGCCCTTTGATGTGTTGGGATTAGTCACACTCATGAATAACAAAGCATGATACCGGAAAGGAAAAAAAAAAAGAAACATTTTACAAAATTCACCAAAGGTGGAGATGTCTGCTTTTGTGTTTGAACTTTTCATGTGGCCACTGAGCATAGTGTCAGTGTCATCAGCAAGTTGCGGTTATACAGAGAGATACTGGAAGAGTATCTCTCTGTTCACATCAATGCCTTTCTGTGGAAAGGCATTGATGTGAACATCATTGGATATGGGGGGTGGCAAGTGAATGATATCATGATACCAAATATGATATCATTTGCCGTGAAGGTCCTTGTTCGAAAACAGTGAGCTGTGTGAAGCATACCGAAACATTCAACAGCTGGACATGTGCCTTTAGAGGAGGTCAAGTTCAGTGTTTTTTTTCCTGAAATGTCACTCAAAAAGCCCAATATTCCTCCCATTTTGTGCGTCAAGTTTTTGACCTTTTGCTCTCTTAGACAAATCCGATATCTGTTCAACTTAACAATGTGGTCGCTTTGAATATAAAATGTGCTCCTGAAAGATGGAAAGAGTTAAATATGACGAGTCTAAGTCAAAGTCATTAGTGCCGTACTCATATTTTTTTTGACTCGCGGCTGTGTGGCCGGCTGGCACAGGGACACCTTTCAGAGAGGTGTGGGGTGTACCAGAGTGACTCGAAAGTATTATTCTTGTCATTGATTCTATGTCAGCATGTTTACTTGCTGAGCAATCACAGTGCTGAATGAAAGGAGAGCAGCCTAATAGTCTCTATTTGACTTTCCTTTCTACCTTGCAGCACTGGTTGGAGTTTTCAAAGTCCATTGCCAAACAAATGAAAAGTGAGTATTTGACAAACGATGTGTCACTTTCATTCTTTCAGAAATGATGAAGGGGAAAATTGGGGACAGAAAAAGAGCAAAATTTGTCATGATTGTGTATTCAAAGTTTCACTTTGAAAGAAAAAATGATTTTCAATTTTAAATGTCTGTGTCACATTTGTGGGAAACTTTTTTTTTGCCCCCATTCATTTTTTTTTCCTTGTTAAATTAATGAAAAATGATGAGTTTCCTATATTTCTCCCCCCAAAAATCATGTGCTATATTTGGCAAAGGTTCATTTTTGTTTTCATCACAGTAGTCCAACCTCTTGTTTCTACAATGAACATTTTAAAAAGCATTTGGTTAGATATTATTTTTGCCATAAAATTATGACGTTTCCGCAAAGCATTTTCACGTATTATCTTGTAGAATCAAAAACCTTTGTTTTTTTTTGCAGAGTTATTAGCATTTTGCAATTTATGTATCGGTACTGATTGTTTTTTGCAAATGTCGTTTTTTTTTCAATAACAAAAATAGAATTGTATATGTATATTTTAACATTATTTCTTGTACAATTAATATCGCAGTACCCTTTTTCTCATATTAGATTTTTTTAAAGTTGTTTGTTGCAAATGTAGATTTTTTTTGCCTCTCCCAAATTTTTTTATCATTAAATGGACATTGTCAGAAAATTACTTTTTTTCTGAAATAAATTTTTTTTTCTGAAAAACATTGATTTAATTGTGGAAACAAACATTTTTTCCACCCTCCCGTTGCCCATATATTCATTTGTTTTGTGTAGTATTACATTTGTCTTTTTTTTTTTTTTTTTACTCACAGGTCGCCATTTCAAATGAGAAAATTGTTCTCATTTGCCTCACCTGGATAAATTTGGGTGAAAATAAAACAATTATAAATTTACAATTTATTTTGTTGCTTTTCCTCCTGTTGTCATCATACTATGACTCATCATGATGTGACTTTCAAGTGTGGTGCAATACTAACTTACGAACCAATGTCTGTCAAAGTGACTAAAACAATGACTATGCCAAAAGTCAAGCGTATGCGCCATGTTGATTTCCCAGCTCAGCCTCCTTTCACCATGTGCTTGCGTGTCAAGTTCTACCCGCCTGACCCTGCCGCCCTGCGGGAAGAAATCACCAGGTAGGACATGACGAGATGGCAGCGTCTTCTTCGCATGCCTGCTCGCTGTTTTCTCACACGAATGCACATTTGAACCAGAATGAGGTGACATGTTCACGCCTCGCTGGCTCCATCTTGCAGTGGAGCTTTGCTCAACTCCATTTAAATTCGCTTTTATAATACGTTGTGGGTGAGTAACGACTTATTATCGTGACGTGTTTTTTCGCTGCTGCAGTTACAGCGCCTCGAGGATGTACCTTTACTTTCGATGAAACTATGATTGTGGCTCATGCTGGGCTGTTTCATTTGTCGCAAGCACCTTTGAATTGAGCAAACTGCACCCACAAGGATGATAAAAGGCCAGTGCCTTTCAGACTTCTAATTGAATTCATTAAATGATTCGAGCACATGAGACATTTTAGATAAAGGACAGCGACATGGCGGCAAGCATGCACGTTGGGTTAATTCAGTCCTTCTCAAATAGTAGGGCTGGCATCCTAGGGTGCACTGCGATGTTGGGGGTCACCTAAGAAAAGAAGTTTTTTAGAATGTAGTGTAATTACACATCCACTACAGTAGGTGGCAGTAGCACTGTCATTGTCAAAGTGTGCGTGTTTGTTGAACATATAACCAAGTACAGAAAATATTCCGGAAACAAAAAGGAAACATAAGTGGTCATCATTACAGTTTATATGTTCAAAAGGGAGTCAGAAGAAGTTAAAGAAACTGATCTAGTCCTACCCCTTACTCTTGTATATTTTCACTTGTTTCATATACAAACGGTTATTCCTATATTATGAAATAAATTCATACAAATTATTTTTTTTTAAATCAATATTTTCAGAATGCAATTTTGGGCAAAAACAGCAAAATGAATGCTAATATTACAAGACTCACTGTAACGCAAATCCCCGGTGAGCTGGATTAAAGAACGAAGCAGGCCATCGATGGCAAGTGAGCTCTACTTTTCTGAGCCCAGTTTAATAGCTATTGTTGGAATGAACCCAAATAAACCAGAGGAGAAGTAAAACACAATGATGGAGTTAATCCTTCAAACGCTCATTGAGCTGATGACTCGCAAAATTTTGGTGACAGCTTCCCAGAAGAGTCGAAGCTGTTGTAATTCCAAAAGGGCGGGACCAACCATTTTTCAGTTTGAACGAGAATTGGGATGCGTCCCAATACTTTTGTCTATGGCCCATCTACAGCAGTAGCCGATGTCTCTGTTCCACTGTTGCCCTGTGTGAGGCCTACCTGACAATTTAACAAATGATGCACAGAGTCTCTGATCTCATGCCGTCCCTCTCTAAATCAAATCCCCCCCACATCCTCCAACACCAGCACCACCACCGTCTGCTCACAAATAAATCTCACACAATACTCAAAGCTTGGTTCTGCTTTGACAGAGCCAACAAGGGAGAGCAGCTCGCCCACTCGAACTGACTTTACTGACACCAATAAAAGCCTGCAAAAATAATTAAAGGAAAGTAGCGCTCTGTCGAGTCAAAAGACTTAATATATGCACTTTTTATGACCTCACTGCACCGAGAGAGGAACGGTTTAATGAACAGTCTCCCATTGGACAGCTGTGTGAAGCTGCATCACATTTTGCATTATTGGCAAGTTCATTCTGGTTTTAGATTAACCCTCAAACATGGAATGCAAACTCAATGTGAACCGCGTGTTCAAATGTGGAACATCGAAGGACGAGCTCAGACACCGCAGCTGGTCGATCTCCAAGTTCACACAGATGATAGTCAATTCTTTTTTGAAACGTCATTTGACTATAGAAAGAAACAGTAAAACTAATTACCTTTTAACTATAATACAACCAACAGTGTAAGTTGAAGATAGGTGCAATATCTTCTTCTTCTCCTTTCGGCACGTCCCTTTTCAGGGGTCGCCACAGCGAGTCATCAATTCCCGTCCGTCCCTGCAAACCGCCCTATCAACTCGCATGTCCGTCTTGGCAAAAGTTTCATGCCGGATGCCCTTCCTGACGCAACCCTCCCCATTTCCCCGGGCTTGGGACCGGCACCGGGGAACAGTGTACCCCCAGGGGAGGTCACTGCCCCCCAGCGGCTGGGTTGAAGATAGGTGCAATATAATCAAATTAAATCAAACTAAAGTAAATTAAAACTACACTTTTTGTCTCTTTCATACAACTGGAAATTGAAACTAAAGTAAGGAAAGATATGAACTCATTCAAGACACCTGACTGGAAGGGTAACAGTTGTCTTTCAAACTCTCAATTTAAATCTACTTCTCGAGCACTTTCAAAACAACCGCAGATGAAAGAAAGGGCTGCTCATAGATAAAAATCAAACATAACCCAAGTGAAAAACAAAATGATAACATGCTAAAAAACTAAAACATTGTCACGTATGCATTTTTTTTAAAGCTTTTGGTGGATCCCAATGCAAAGACACTCAAGTATAGCACATTTTACTCAACCAACAGGGGTTCCAGTGCAGTCGTTCAGTAAAAGGGAGGCAATGTATACATGCTAAATAACAGCCCCAACCTGTTTTCTTCCACGCTGCAGATATTTGGTCTTCCTGCAGGTGAAGAGGGACCTCTACCATGGCCGCCTGTTGTGCAAAACCTCGGACGCCGCTCTCTTGGCTGCGTATATCTTACAAGGTAACACATAATGGCATTAATCATACAAATTAATTCAAACTAGGAGTCCAACAAGCATAAACAAGAGTTAACTACGGGAATACAAAACAAAACAAACGTACAGCGATTGGGTGTTGGAGTTCAGCAGTCCCCAAACCTTTTTTGTCCCACGGACCGGTTTAATGTCAGACAATATTTTCATATGATATGACCTGCATGATACTGTGGTATTTTCTAAACATACTAATAAACACGAATCATGACATGAGGAACGTCCTAATTAGCCGTAACACTCCCTGGTCACGATGGTAATGTTTCAACGTGCCTTTAAAATAAGATACAAAGTGCATGAAAAATACGACTCACCTTGCTTATTATGCAGAGTAGGCTTGGTGCGTGTGAATCTCCTGTTGAGATAAATCCGTATTTTAAGTAGGACTCCTGATACTGTCTATTAAATGTAGCCTTCTCTTTCTTGGAAGTCGTAGGCTCTTCTTCTGTCTCCTGGCTGGGCCTTTTCCCCTTCCCAAAGAAACTTTCCAAAGACGTTTTTTACTCATTTTGCTAGTTCCTGGGTTTCATTTTAGCGGTAACCTATCACGTGACCGAGAAGAGTGACATATTGTAGACGGATGCAACAGAGAATCCGGTAATTTTTCAAAATAAAATATCTTTCAGAGTGCGAAATAAATGAAACGGAAGTAATATGCTATTTATTCTTTCTGTGCGGCCCGGTATCAAATGACCCATGGACCGGTACTGGTCTGCGGCCCGGGGGGTGGGGACCGCTGCGTTAGGAGACTATCATAAACATTTCAAGGTGTTTGCTCGCTGCTCAATACATTAGGGAAAACTGACAGCAGGAATAGGAGGCTAAAGCCTGACTAAATGAAGCTCCTCCTCTGGCTCCGACATAGTTCCCTGGCACCAAGAAGCCACAAGGTGGTGCCAAAGAAACACTTATCTTAGACAGGCCTTGGCATGAAACAGCAAATAACGGACGATAGTTTCCCAAATAATACACAAAGAGCAAATCAAGAATATGCAGGGGAGCACAATATACTTAATCGAATGGCAATTGAGTTTTTATCTTGTTTTGTTCACTATGTTTTGTTCACTTGTCGCCATTGTCCAGCTGAAATCGGTGACTACGACCCCGGAAAGCACCCCGAAGGCTACAGCTCCAAATTTCAGTTCTTCCCCAAGCATTCGGAGAAGTTGGAGAGGCGGATTGCTGACATCCACAAGACGGAGCTGATGTAAGTTGACCGTCTGATATTTTGGCAGCCAATGTGCAGCGTGCGTGCCGCCTGTCACTCTTTCAGAGATGATATACGGAGAAGGTTAAAGCAGCAGCCGTCACCCTTATGTTAATTTTAACCCTGTCATCACGCCGCGCCTTCGCTTGTCAACCTTTACGGATGATGCATCGGGTTATAGACACTATCGTCTCACGAAACTGGACACAGCACCCTCGTACAGCTGCGTGTGTACAAAAGAGGCCTTCAAAGGGCTGAAAAATACGGAAACCTTCCTATGGCTAAGAATCTTTTAGAAATAATGAAAGTTGGACAATTTCAATGAGAATTAACATAGATACTTTCAAGACAAAGACATTCACTCCCGTGTGAATGAGCCTAAGATGCATGTTTTTGGATGTGAAAGGAAGCGAGAGGACCTGCTAAGGTGGCCATATAAAAACATGCTAACTGCACACGGGAGGAATAAAATTCAAATCTCAAACCTCAGAACTGAGCCAGTAGGCTGATAATACTGTGAACACTTTTAGGACAGTACTATACAAAAAAAAAAAAAAGAATATTGAAAAATAGACAACAGTAATGCTAATGAACCATACCTAAACATAAAAAGATAATATTTTCGATATCATCTTAGTACTTTTCATTGATAGCTTGTAACACTGGCAGGACAATTTACTCATGCTGACGAAAACCCCTTTTAACCCTTTCGGGGACAGATGTTCCTACAGTGGACAGCTTATCATGTTATCAAGTTACAGGGGGCATTGAAGGGTTAATGCTTCTTCTGATTTGGCTTTTGGTCCTCTGCTTTAATTCCATAAAAATTAACACCATGTTTGTTATACATGACAGTGTTAGCTGACAGAGGTGGTTCATTGTTGTTGTTGTTGTTGTTGTTGTTTTTTTTTTGCAGAGGCCAAAGTCCTGAAACGTCAGAGCTCAACTTCCTCCAGAAGGCTCAGATGTTGGAGACGTACGGCGTGGACCCGCATCCATGCAAAGTACGCAGCAGCTTAATGTTATTCATCAGGGAACGTGTCATCTGAATGTGTCGACTGATTATGACCCAACAACAGGTTGATCTCGTAATCGAGACGGATTTATTATTATCAACTGATGATCAATTGTTTGTTTGTTTTTTTCTTGTTTTGGTGTCAGGACGTGTCTGGGAATCCAGCTTTCCTGGCCTTCACCCCATTCGGATTCACTGTACTGCAAGGCAACAGGAGAATTCATATCCTGACCTGGTGAGCACCACTATTGCACAACAGTGGATGAAGATTAAATACCAACTACACCCTGACAGCTTCGGATGTTTTCATGTGTCATGCTCATTGTCTTGGCAGGGATGAGGTGACCAAGCTGAAATTCGAAGCCAAGACATTCCATATATATGCAAATCAGACGGAGGTACTGTACACAGGATTCAAATTAATGACGATGGTTGAACTACAGGACGTACGCATATCAAGCACAAATCAATATCCATCCATCTATCCATTTTCCAATCCGCTTATCCTCACAAGGGTCACGGGGGGGATGCTGGAGCCTATCCCAGCTGTCTTCGGGCAGTAGGCGGGGGACACCCTGAACCGGTTGCACACACAGACGAACAAACATCCACGCTCACACTCACACGTAGGGACAATTTCGAGTGTTCAATCAGCCTGCCATGCATGTTTTTGGAATGTGGTAGGAAACCGGAGTACCCGGAGAAAACCCACGCAGGCCCGGGGAGAACATGCAAACTCCACACAGGGAAGCCGGAGCTGGAATTGAACCCGGTACCTCTGTACTGTGAGGTCGACGCGCTAACCACTGGATCACCGGGCCGCACAAATCAATATGTTTCTTGAAATTTAAAGAAGACCAGTTTAGAGGGTTTTCGACTCTGACTACCGAAACAAGCTTTCTAGATGTTAGGTCGCTCAAAATTGATTTGATTCGTCACAACCGAACATTATTGCATCATCATACAGTCACTTGCATGTAGACTGGCCAACAGCGACTGAAGTAATTAAAAATTAATATTTTAAAGTACTGTGTGTGTGTGTGTGTGTGTGTGTGTGTGTGTTTTAGGATCAGAAAATCATATTGACCTACTTTGCGCCCACACCTGAGGCCTGCAAGCACCTGTGGAAGTGTGGCGTGGAGAATCAAGCCTTCTACAAGTTAGAAACTAGAAACTGTTACAAACTGTCCAATATATATACTTCATGTCCTCGTGGCTGAATAAGCCGTAGCGTTTGTTTTCTCAATCAGGTTGGAGAAATCCAGCCAAGTGCGTACGGTGTCCAGTAGCAATCTCTTCTTCAAGGGTAGTCGCTTTAGATATAGGTACCATAAATACTTTTCTCTGTATGTATCATCGTCGATAACATGCATGCAGCCGTCCAGTGTGAATATGACAATAATGTGGCACCAATGTTTTCTCAGTGGAAAAGTTGCAAAGGAGGTGATGGAACAAAGTGCCAAAATTAAAAGGGACCCACCTGAGATCCACAGGTCAGAATTCCTACAAAATACCCACCACACACCAACTGTTGGGAAATTTTCACTCAATTTTTTTAGATACCAGTGTATTTCCATATGTTATATTTGTTCAGGGCGGGCATGGTGCCAAGCAGGAGCTGTCCGTCCATCACGCACGGCCCTCGTTTGACGAGCGTGCCTCGGACACGACGGAGAGCGGTGCATATCTCCATCATGGAGGGTAAAAAACATGCAAGCACACACACACACACACACACACACACACACACACACACACACACACACACACACACACACACACACACGCATAAATATGCTCTTGGAGTGATGATGGAAGGATTTGAAACATTTGGGGACCACAAAGTTATGACAAGGATGTTTGAAAAGTGGGGAAGCAAAATTTCCATGTGTATTTATTTATCTTACAGTTGAAAACAGTAGCCTGGTGTTTTAATAAAGCATTCGAACATTATTTAGTAAAAATACACTTGTAACAATCTGGTTCAACTCATTCCGTTTTGGGCCGATGCTTCTGTTCCAATGATTTTTCCAACCTTCTAAGCGACTTTTTTTTTTTTTTAATGAAGAAATTTCATGACATTTTTGGGCGTTATCGGAGATAGGATAAGATTTATTTGTCCCACAATGGAGAAATTTGCAATCCACTGCAGCAAAATTGAAGGGGGGGAGTAGAAAAGAAAAACAAAGTATTGCATGCATAAAATAATGTTTAAGAAAAATGAACTGTACACAGTACAGAATGCAATATAAAATATAAATACAGATACAAGCATATATGCAACTGCATATATGCTGCATAAGGTGGTTGTGCTATTTACAACGGAGATATCCCGAGACTTGAAGACTCTGTTCACGCCTCCACATCCAGACCGCAAATGAATAGCCACCTGTGGCAAATTTACCAGTGTACTTTGAACTGACTTTTTTTTTTTTTGTCCAGATAGGTATGGAATAAAAATTACTTTGTTGTTTAATTTCACACTTGATGGTTGGGCAGGCGCTGCCGTACCCAACTATTAGCAAACAAGCCATGGGTCAGCTTTCCATAGTATGTCCCCTTTAGTCAAACTGGACCATCTGCACTACTGTTGTGCTCTGATCAGGACCTGACCTTGAATTGAATCTGATCTCTGTCTCGGGTTTTGTCATGTCGCGCTGGAATTCTCACTGGTAATAATCACTGTCCAAATATAGCTCCTATCGTGAGAGGGCCGAGCCGAATGTGTCATAGCCAACAGGAGAAGGATGTCGGCGGGGGTGGAAAGATCGGGGCTTAATGTGGACCACATTCCCGGGCCTTAACTTTTCCATAAGTCTGTCAGTCATGCTGTGGCTCTCAACCTGGTAGGGAGAACGCGAGTAAATGGTCGCTCAGATCCTTAGCCACGATCACGGGAACTTTGAGAAGGCGAGACGGAGTCAGCTGGAACTCTCGAGGTCATATCGCTCACCTTGAACCATGGTCAAGTGTCTGATCCGCATCGAGACCAAGGTGAACGTTCACTTGCGCATGGTCAACCACTGCTATCGCGATGTGAAGGTACGCGTTTTATCTCTGGGACCCCGACTGCTTGGCAAGGCTCTGGGGGCCCTTCCACTCTTCCCCTCCCTCACCGAAGGGCCTGCACCAGAACAGAGGTCCGAGGCCGCTCTCCGACTAGCTGTACCCCCAAATGGCTGTCCAGGTAACTTCAAGACGGCTTTTTCTGAGCCACTTGGAGATTATCTCGTGGTTCCTAAATGTTTCTGGTGATATCATTAATACGAGTTTCATTTTGGGTTGTTGGGCTCTGAATTGCACAGCTTATCTTTGATGCATGAGGTCATCGACTGCATTCTGAAAACCTTTGAAAGCTAATGCAGAGTTTCCTCTTCCCAAATGAGAATCAACCCAACACATACATTTCTATGCAAGATTTATTGGTCCCAGTGCTGCACAGATTAATAGATTATTCAAATGTACACAGAGCAGACAAGAACAATCTGTTAGGAGGGTGAATGAGCTCCCTAATGGGGGCCGTAAGTAACAATCATCCCATTCTATATTTTTGTGCAAGAGCTCCCGCTTCATCTCAGAATTTTTTAATTGCATTGTATTATTTTTTGTGTGTGGCAAAGCATGTACAAACACTACATGCAATTCTCAACATTAAAGTTTGCGCTGATGCTAGTGTCAAACATGAAAAGATTTCATGGATTTTTAAATGTTTTACGTGTTTTTATTACATTTTTGAAATTAATTTTAGTAAATAATCGTATACACTTGGCCATGCTTCAAAATTAATTTTGTCATTTTGTTGTATCGAAAACGTTCTGTTTCCAAAATATGATTGTTTTAAATTAAAAATGTTTTAAAAATAGTTTCATTAATTTTGTATATTGAAATTGTTTTTAAAATGATCTACTTTTAGGAATATTTAAACTTTTTTATTTCCATGTAACATGTTTTATTAGTTTTATCTAAAATATAAGTCGACTTTTGAAAAACTGCAACAAATGTAATTTTTGAAATACGTTCAATTTTCAGTATCTGTTCCTAAAATAATTTCATTTATTTTGGACATTAAAATAATTGGTCCTTTAAATAATCAGATGTATTTTGCAGTTGGAAATAATCTGGTTTTAAAATGGTTGTTTTAAATAATCAGTTTGATTTATTTACAATCTGTTTTTTCATTAATTTTGTTATTTTTCAAAATATGTTTAATTATGTTTTAGTAGTTCTGTATTTTAAAATGGTTTATAGTTCAAACATCATTTTTAAAAATAATTCATTTTAAAATAAAAATATTAGTTTATCTAAAATATATATTTTTAATTCTTAAATATTTTCTGCCTTGTTATTCAATGTAATCTGTTTTTGTTATTTGTTATTGTTTTTAAACCAATCAAAATATTTAAATAACCTGCTTTTAAAATAATTTATTGACTAAATGATTTGCTTTCTCTAAATTTAGTTCAAATTTCAATTAAAATATTTTAAAAATTCAGATTTTAAAATAGTTTCCCTTAATTATTTGGTGTATCACTTTTTCATGCACCAGCCTTTTTGTTCTATTTCTTGCCATGTCAGGTCTGGAGTCTCTCCGCGACAGCGCCCACTCCACGCCGGTGCGCTCCGTCTCCCATGGTGACTCCTTCCTGCCCTCCCAAGGCCACACGGTGGACGGTGGCGAGGCGAGGGCGTCGGCGGTCATCTCCGATGAGGCCTACAGCCCCTCAGACAGCGTCCTCCCTACGCCCGTGGCGGAACGCGGGCTGGAGATGAACCTCAATGGTGCCCCCTGCATTGTCGATGAGGACGAGGGTGGTGCGTCGCTGGAGGCAACCCACAAAAGAGCCGGAAGAAAAGCTCCGCGGGCGCTTAAAAGCCGACCGTCGCCCCCTAGTGACGCGGAGGAGCTGCACAAGTTCATCCTGAGCGTTCTGCGTCTTTTCCTGGTCACCATTGGACTTCTCTTTGCCCTCCTGTTGCTCCTAATCGTGCTGACAGAGTCCGACCTGGACATCGCCTTCCTGAGAGACATCCGCACAACACCCGAATTCCAGCAGTTCCACTTTGAGTACTTCTGCCCGCTGCGGCGCTGGTTCGCCTGTAAGCTTAGATGGATGGGAGGGCTCCTTATCAACAAGTAAACATTGGGAAGAAAATGGAAAAAAAGATGGCCATCCTTTTCCCAGCTTTTCCCAAGTCACAAGCCACGGATTTCCCTATGTAGGATCTCCCTCTTTAATTGCATCTGCCACTGTGGCAGGGATAGATTTCATTTCATCTCGAAATTCATTTAACGGATTTGTTAACAGGAAATGTGATTTATCAGTGAAATTATATTTCAAAAAAAGTGACCATCTAATTCAAATGCTGTTTGGAAATAGATCATAATGATCACTTTGGATTGACTCTTTCAAACATGACATAACCAACTTGATAAATGAATGCCTCTCTGACAGTTTCAATCAAAACCCAACATTCTCATCTTCATTTTTTGTTGCAGCTCTTGTACTGGAGCTCCTCACATTGTGCAGGTGTACCTAATGTTGTGGCCAATAAGTGCTGTGTATGTCAGGAAATCATCGTAGATGACAACTCTGTGACAATGATGCGAAAGCCAATCTAAGTAATGCTGCGTTCGCATTTCAAGCAAACAATGAGGATGATTTGAGGGTAAGAGAATGTAAGATGAAGGGTGTTTTGATAATAGAAATTAAAGTATGATTTATTTCATACAACTTTGGGTGTAGCGTATGGAGGGTTTTTTTGTGCCATGGTGGAATGAAAACAAATGCAAAATAAATAAATATAAATTAGTCAACATAAATTCATGCAAAGTGAAAGGGGAAACAACTTTCATCAGAAATAACTCCTGCTGTTTTAGTTATGTATATACTGTACATACATAAATTACACACACATAAATACATCTATCTATATCTAGCTAGCTAGCTAGCTATAGCTAGCTATAGCTATCTAGCTATCTACCTACCTAGCTAGCGATCTCTCAAGCTAGCTAGCTAATATGTGTACAGTATATGTACATAATAAGACTTATATGTATGTATTTATATCTGTGTAATTTAGTTTGAAAAAAGTAATGTAGTAATTAAGTTGCATTTGAATTATTAATCCATTTTATTTTTGGCACTAAGAACCCTCCATATAACGAATGGGATTAGGGATGTTAAGGGATATTAATAAATGTAGCACTACTGTTCAAGTCATTTTGGCTGATATGAATATTGGTATTCTTTGTGTACTTTTAGTCATCAACGTTTACCATCCAAAGACTTTTGATGAAGATTTTAGATGAATAAAATTGGTCTTTTTTTTTTTAAATAAACTAGGCGTTAAATAATGCTCACGGATACAGTACAATATCCAACCATCTTGTGTAATAGGCCGATGTGAGCTAAAGCTAGTCTTGCTAGTCAAGTGTTTGACTTCTCAATGTGCAATACTGGACACCAACTCATCTGACATTGCAATGTGCACAGGTGAGTATAAGCGCAGCTTTTTGCGTTAGGTGAAGGTTTTTATGCTTTTTTTATGTTTAATGTGCTGCAGAGACTTTGAATGGACTTGCAATAGAGCCTCAGATAAGTCATGTTTACTGTACTGCTACTTTCATCACCACACCAACCAAAGAAACCTGTTTTGTGTTGCTTCAGCCTTAGCCTGCAGTGTCTTTGACTGGACAAATGGAAATACTGTCGTTTGTGACTATTGTGTTTTGCTCCTCAAATTAGGAGAGTGTGATAACATCGTCGATTCTGTTATGTATGCAGCGGTAGGAATGGCCCAGGATGTGCCATGTGGAAAATATAATAGGACACCTCACACTCTTCCATGGTCATACTAAATATTCGGTGTATGCTTCCAATGTTCCTGTTCTTGCAGAGCAAGGTCCGTGAAAACGCACTTGAATGTTTTTGGTGTGGAAGAACATGCACTCTCAAAATTTCCGCAGACACATGTCAAAATGTTGTGGACAGTTTTCCCAGAGAAACTGGCGCAACTGTATTTTCGGCACTGTCAATGAACTGGCCAGGTGTCCCATTACTTTTGTCCATATGCCGCATGTTCAAGGTGCCATGAGTAAGTAGAGTTGAGCTCGCACTGCGCCCCCCTCCAGCAAGCAAGCATCGTATGAACTCCCTAATCACGAGCCATCCCATAATAAAGATAGGAAATGAAGCGAAACAAATAATGAAATAAAGCTTACCGTTTTACCTCATTTTGGTGAGCACGTATACTGCAATGACACGTATGAACTCACTGATCCCTAGCCGTCCAGTACCACATTGGGTTTGACGCTATGGCAAACAAATGATGAAACAAAGCCGTTTTTGACTCCTTTCTGTACGTGAACATCATGCAGTGATGTACACTAACTCCCAAATTGCCGGCACATCCCACAAAGCATTTGGTTTCAATGACAAAGGTAAACAAAGTATTCTGTTTTTGCTTCATTATGGCAAACAACCATCTTGTATGAACTCGCTGGTTGCTAGCCACCCTATTATACATTCAGTCCGATACTAACGGAAACACATGAAACAAGAGCTGGCGTTTTTTGCCTCATTTTTTGGGATGAGTAAATATTAGTCGTTGACATGTATGAACTCCTGTGAATGAGTCCCAATCAGTTCAGGGTGTACCCCGCCTACTGCCCGAAGACAGCCGGGATAGGTTGCAGCATGTCCGCGACGCTTGTAAGGCTGAGCGGCTCGGATAATGTATGTATGTATGTATGTATTTATGAACTCCCTAAACTCTAGCTATATCATAATGCATTAGGTTTAACACTATGATAAACAAAACAAAACAAAAAAAAAGAAACAAAAGCTTATCTTTCTGCTTTCTTTTGGCAAGCACCAGGCTATCAAATCACACATTAGATACCACACTAAGGCAAACTAATGTTGAAAAAAAGGCTAATTTGCCTACCAAGGGTGAGCGGATCTCAGCTGGTGATACGTATGAACGCCGTAATTGCTAGTATCCCATAAAGCATTGGGTCGGTTTTGTCAGTAAACAAAGGGTTCTGTTTTTGCTTCATTATGGCAGGTAAGCATCTTGTACTCCCTGATTACTAGCCATTCCATTATGCATTGAGTATTACACAAATGGTGAAACAAAGACTTATGTTTTTGCCGCATTTAGGTAATCAAGGATCAGCTGATGCCATGTATGTATCCAATGTTGCATTGCATCTGGTGGTCAAGCCAGCAAGTTTCGTCATAAATTTTTGCTATACCCCGACGCGAGCAAATTGCAGCACTAACAGCTTTTTCTTTTATTTGGACTCGCAAGACTTGATTAGCAGGGTCTTGCAGTAAGCTCACGGGATGTGACACAAAGGGAAACAAATACTAAATCATAGAAATTAAGTTGACATTTTTGCCTCATTAGTGAGATTTCTAAGTCAAGAGCAATAAATAATGCGGGTTGAACCTTAACCTTCAGAGTAAGGTTTTTATTCTCAGAAGGCCTGCGGATGCATGTGTGAAGGATCTGTCACTGCAGTGCTATTGAAATTCAGATCTGCTTGTTGCCCGATCGTTGACTTACTTTGGTTGCAAGTTTGACACTGGACACATGACAATGGATGCGCTGCTGTCAGAACAAGTGGCAAATCACCTCCACGACTTCTTCCTTGAATGCAGATGTTTCATTGCTGTTCATGTCACCATGGAGACCGCAAGGTATGATTGATGGGATGATTTTACAGCGCGTGCGTTTTCCAATCCATCATGGCTCGAACAGTGTCTGTAAGCATGTTTTATGCATTTATTGCCTCCTGGCCAGACAGAGCGATTCAACTGAAAACTGGTGTTCTCTGTTTATGAATAAATATATATTCTTGACATGTGCCAACTACTGTAGTCTCCATCTTAAATCATGCAAAAGAAAATTCAAATGACTAACAAGCAGTGAGGTACAGATTACAGAAGTGGCAATTTCGCCAATCTGACCTGACCAAAGTCATTTCTAGGTGATAACATCTATGTAATCATACGTGATTCATCAACGGGATGAAAAAAAATAAGGCCTCAAAAAATCAATTTCATTAAATGTTTCATTATTAATATATTCATACATGGCAATGGCGAGTGATGAAACAAGCGGAAGGGGCGTGGCCTGGACGGGGGCGTGGTTACTTACAAAAGTGGCACTAAACATGCTGAAGATGAAGTGTATTAAATTTACACAGTTTGAAAATTGAACAGAAAAAAATCCCAAGATCGCCACTATTCTTTCAAGTGAAAATTTGTGCAATTTTGCCTATGCATTCCTGGTGAGCACCAATATGTAACTCCAAATTTGCTGCTCAAAATCAAAACTAAAAAAGTAAACACATTCCCTGCCATATTTAAGATTTGTTCATGACTTGTATTCATAAAGTGTTGTGTAAATGTGATAAAAAGCTGTTGATTCTTACCTCATACAGTGATAGTGAATATTTATTATGCATACAATTTACTATGCATAACCGTGCTTTATTATCCAAGACAAAACGTGAATTATCAATATGAATATAAAACGCAAATAAAAACAAATAAATGTCATCATGCTGTTGCTACAAATGCATACCAAATAAAA